CCAGTTAAACCCAGTTGGCATAAAAGGCCTTTTTATTTTGGTCCTGCATCTATCTGTGCCAAATCCTGATTTTGCTGAAGTCAGTAACAAAATACCCATTGACTACCATTGGGCCAGGATATAAATAACGGGACCCTCAAGGATGAGGAGTGAAGGATGGAGGAGAGGAAAACTAGCTTTCTTTGTCACTTCTGGCATGTGAAATAACTTGCATAATTGACTGGATAGGTTCTCCAAGAAAACCTGGTGATGGTCACTTACATCTGAGTTTTGTGAAACTTAAGGGAATGAAGTGTACAAATTCAGTGCTCTCATTACACTACACTAAGATCTCTTATGGGGAGCTTTTGTGTTGTGGGTTTTGTTGGGTTTTTTCATGCGTACATGTGAAGTAGCTTTTATTTTAATTCCCCCAAGTTGCCTTTTTCTTTCTCCTTTTTAACCCCCCTGTGGTTTTAATTACCTAAGATTTCAGAAAGTAACTGGTCCTGCTTTAAACTCCTTACACAAGCCCCTGTGGTTCACACCTATGTTTCAGTGTTCAGCTGCCTGGAGAGGAATGATTGCCTGTGGACTTGGGGTTTGATGCTTTTACCTTTTTGAGCAATGTGGTGTTTGTTCTAAAAGTAATCTCAACTCTAATAAGCTGTTCATCCTCTAGACTGACTGAGGGGGTGGCATAAATCTGCGAGTAGAAATGTGACTTCTTAAAAACATTCCGTTTACGCTGTTACTCTTGGGATTCAGTTCCTCCTTCTTTTTTCTCTTTCCTGTCTGTGTCGATGAGCAGGGAGGGCCTAGTGGATTGTAGAATTGATTTCAAGATGAGCCCTCAGTCTTGAGAGGTATTTTAAACTTGTTAGAAGTCTTTGGGAATTAAAATTAAAGGTTATTTTTATTATTGGGTGAGCAAAATCACTTTTCTCTCAGTTTTTACATAGCTGGTGCTTTTCTATGCCAAAGTGCCGATTCTTAAAGACTTCAGAAATAGTCCAGCAGTGCTGAAGTGTCCGAAGCACAACCAATGAACACAGTACTCCTCTCACAATCTACACGTACCTCTGTCCTCCGGAGAGCAAAGGATTCATCACTAAGTGGGCTCAGAGAAACAGGCATTGCACAAACTCTCCTGTGTTTAATCGATGACGGTTGACTCCAGAGAACCATCCACTCCAGACTGATTATCTCTTCTACTGAGCCCCAACTGCATTTTTTCCCAGCTCTGTCTGAGGAGCATGCAGAGCCAATAAAAGGAAGCTAAATGACATGTGAATAAGAAAAAAAATATACTGCTGTTGTTTTTCAATTAAGAAAAGACAACTCCCAAACAATACTAGGGTTTCTCTGGCACTGAGGCGCGTGCAATCACCCTAAATGGGCAAAAAAGCAAGTAGAATCTTTCCCAGCAACAATGGTTTAGCTTTTGGTTCTGGGTCTTCCAGAGCTGAAGCCAACTGGTAGATAATATTGGGGAAGATCTCCATGTAACTCCTCTGGCCCCAATCCCCTGAAAGATGCAGCTTTTCCATTGTCTTTCTTCATCTTTCTGGATCCACATACCTAAAAAACATTGAAAACCCACTTGCAACACCCTTTATTACAACAAAGTGACGTCCAGGCTCAACTCTTAACACCCGGCCTCAAAATTATGTTTAGCAAATGCGTGAAAATGCAGCAGAAATACATCTGGCTGAGGTTGCTGCTCAGCCAAATTAGATGCATGAAGGACCCTCCATGAATGTTACCCTTTATCTCTGTCTGTGCAGTTCTGTATTTGGGTGGGTTGGTGTTGTCTGGCTGCACCTGTCACAGCTATATGTCTTGGTTGGACAACTCTCTTTTGACACCTGGGATGGTGCAGGTTTGTCTCATTTTGTACTGACCTTTGGTCAAGCTGATCTTTTAAGTTTGGCATTTTTGTTTTTGCAGCAGGAGGTTTGGCTGGGAAGGCTAGGAGCAAAGTTTTTGAGATGAACAGAACTAATTCAGATCAAATGCTGGAATTGTACAGCATCCTTTTTTTTTTAATGTTATTCAGTATCTTAAGACATACAATACTGATCTCTTTAATGCAGGCATGAAATGGGTTGGTTGAAAGAGGCAAGAGATGGCTTGAACTGTAAAGAACAAGCAGGCAATATTGTCTTAAGCTTCTGTGGTCAGAAACTAAGAAATTCCTTTATGAAGAGACAGAGAAAGACTTGCAAGACCCCAAGCATGTCTGGTTTTACCAACTCTATCAGTTGGTATAAAAAGATACCACCTCCTTGCTTCACTTGGCATGAATTAAGTGATTTATGGAAACTGGAGGAAAACATTCTTTACAATTCATGGTGGCACGCCAGAGGAGAATGGGACAAAATAAAACTTTATAAAGCCAAGAATCTAGCAGTGCTTATTTGAGCCCTCTCCTTGGTAGAATAAAACCCCCATGCTTAGGCTGACATCCTGCTTTGGTGCTTTAGGGGTTAAACCCTCTTCAGAGAGCATGAGTGGGGAGAAAGGAAACTGAAAGCTGTGCTGAAAAGCTAGTAGGTGAGACTGGGAGTTGCCTGATCTATTTTATCTTTTAAAAGGGCAAGCTCTGAATCAAGCTTCATGAAGATCGAGTGAGATGCAAAAGCTTGACAGTCACACATACAGGAAATGTTGAATAATCTCTGAGCTTCCTGGAAAATGACGTTGTGAGGTTATCGTAGTATTTACTTAGTGATGATCCCATAGTTCTTACTGATCAGCTTTAAAAATGTATTCGCTACCAGCACCTCAGTCTTGGGTGGAAATGGGCTCGGTTGGGTTTGTTGAAAATGTTTGGCAGCGTCACCTGGCAGTGATGAATAACTGAGCACAGGGAATGGAGCCTGGGCTGTTTTCTTTATCGTGAGGGAAAAGGTTTGTTTTGTGCAGTGAATGTTTTTATGCATTCCTGGCAAAGGCTGACAAACTTCAAACTCTTCTAGTCCCCAGACCATTTAAAAATGTCTTCTTTAAATAGAGCATTGTGGAAGGAGCACTGGTATGTCTTTAGGACAAAGTCTGTTTTTTTTCAGTGGGAGGAGATACCAGGAAGAGATGGAAAGCTGCTAACTCTCCTCCTAACCCCTTGTTGCTTTAAAATTGTGCTGGAATTGGGCAGAGTTTTTAATTCTTGCTAGTCCGATCCTCCCTTTCTTGCTCTTATCTGTCTGAAGTGAAAGGAAATGTGTCTGCTGTGAACACTGGAATAGCAAAGCTGCCCGCTCGCACCCCAAACCCATGTGCACAGCTCCAGAGTAGTCCGTGGAAATGACACTAGGAAGCAGAGAAAAAACAGACTTCGGCAGTAGTCTGTAGGTTTTGTTCACCCGAGATTCCAGGTGCAGGAATTGCTGGTAGCTGGCCAAGGAGCTTGGATGGCAGCCTACCTGTTCCTCAGCTCTGCTCAGCCTGCTCCCTCCCCTGCCTTTCTTTTTTTAATTGCATAATATGCTAGAAAATTACTTGGATTTGGGACTTATTTTTAACCAGAAGAGGCTCACTACACCTGATCTGGTTTTGGATTTACCACCCAGCAAATGCTTTCTGAAGCTCTTGTAGCACTGAAATCCTGAGTTCTTTTGCCCCCTCTTCTGCTTCCCAAGGGTCTCTTTGTTCTTAAATGTTTGTCAGTCATTTTTTGTGATGTTTAACTACATTGTCTGTTTGTTGGACTGCTGTATGACCATCAAACTGTGTTAGACCTGCCTAATACAGTTGTTTGGCAGGCACTAATCCCACTGGGAAGACTGGGAGTTGTACTCAAATAAGGAAGGCAAATTCTGTCTCCCAGATGACAGCTGCATAATGTGAGAAGGGTCAGGTCTGGGTTAAAAATCTATATGGCTGTTGCAACTTCTCTCTGAATACCTGTGGCTAGAAAGCCTCTTCCACTTTCCTTTTTTCTTTTTTTTTTTCCTCTTTAAATAAGGCAGAATTCTTCACGCCAGAATTTGTTAAACAGAGGGAGGGATACAGGAATGAACAGGGAGCTGCCTGTGATCATACTAAAATAAGAGTGAGTGGGTTAGAGCTCCACCACCTCACCACTCTACCTGGGAAAATGAGAGAGCATAACATTAGGTCGTGCTACTGTCACAGTACAGTGACTCCTTCATTCCTCTGTGTTTGGGGGAATCTTTGTGTCACAAAAATAATGGTGACAAAATGAGGTTGGGACTGTGCTGTGTAGAAGAGCATTTCCAGGCTCTCTGAAACATCCTGGAAGAGATGGCACTGGGGACTGAACTCCCCTACTTAATCTTAGCTCGGAAATTATTTATAATTTGGGGCAAGTTTGGTAGAATCCCCTTGTTTCCTTCAAAATCTGCTGTCTGACCAGCAGCAGAGAGTAGTGCAGAGAGGTCTTTGGGATTAGACTAAAAGACTTGACAGATCTTCTTCATCTGTAATTTATCTAATTCTGAGTATAATAACTACATTTCCTGCTCTGGTAGTTTAGTCCTTAGGCGATCTGCTAAATAAACCCATATGTGTATATCCTGGTCTACCAAAGGGCTGGATCTCCCAACTTCACTTGGGAAGTTTCTCTCAACACACAATTGCTTGAGCCTCATTTCCCTTCCCTCGTGAACACACTTTTGAATAAAAAGAGGAAATTCATTGTGAGAACCTCGGTGATTTACATTTGTATTCCCAGGTATAGCACTGCCTCAGTCAAGGAATGTAAGGAAACATTCAGTATAGTGCCTGTGGCTTGTGCTCCTATGGACTGGTATTTGCTTAATGTAAGGAAGAGCAAATTTGCTGCCAAGCATGCCAGATCTTGAGTATCATAGATGCTGTCTGAATTCCTGCTTGGAATTTACCAGCACAGCCATGCCTAAACATGGATGGGCCAGAGCCTTGCATTAGGGTGGCTGCTGCTTGCTCGTCATGCTGCTGTGGGCCAAGGCCGAGTTATTGATAGGGACAGATGTCCACCTGCTTTGCTGCCTTCATCAGTCTCCTCTCTTCCCTTGCAGATATATGTTGGGGAAAAGAGGAAAGCGGAAGTTTGACGAGCATGAAGATGGGTTGGAAGGCAAAGTGGTGTCTCCCACTGACGGTGCCTCTAAGGTGTCTTACACCTTACAGCGTCAGACTATCTTCAACATTTCCCTTATGAAACTTTATAACCACAGGCCATTAACCGAGCCAAGCTTGCAAAAGACAGTTTTAATTAACAACATGTTGAGGCGAATCCAGGAAGAACTCAAACAAGAAGGCAGCTTGAGACCCATGTTCGTGGCTGCTTCACAGCCTGCCGACCCTCTCAGTGACAACTTCCGTGAGGCGCAGCCGGCGTTCAGCCACCTGGCCTCGCCGCCCCTGCTCCCCGCCGACTTGGTAAGCACTATGCCCCTGGAGTCCTGCCTCACCCCGGCCTCTTTGCTTGAGGACGACACTTTTTGCACTTCCCCGGCTGTCCAGCACGATGGTTCGATGAAGCCACCACCTCCTGCTCTCCAACCAGTAAAGGACAGCTTCTCCTCAGCCTTGGACGAAATTGAGGAGCTTTGTCCAGCACCTACCTCCGCAGAGGCAGTAGCAGCTGAATCAGCAGCCGGAGACTCTAAAGCCCAGCCCAGCGAGTCCAACATTCACAAGCCCGAGGGCCTCCCAGAGAGCAGAATGGCTGAATCCAAACTCATGGACCCCCTGCCTGGCAACTTCGAGATAACAGCTTCCACAGGTTTCCTCACAGACTTGACCCTGGATGACATTCTGTTTGCTGACATTGATACGTCCATGTATGATTTTGACCCCTGCACAACTGCCACAGGGGCTGCCTCAAAAATGGCTCCTGTCTCAGCAGACGAGCTCCTAAAAACTCTTGCTCCGTACAGCAGTCAACCAGTAACTCCAAATCAGCCTTTCAAAATGGATCTCACAGAACTGGATCACATCATGGAGGTGCTTGTTGGGTCTTAAAAATATTAGAAATATAGCAACTTTTTTTTTTGTTGGGTTTTTTGTTTTGTTTTGTTTTTTTTTAAATTTTAAGTACCAGTCTATACACTTGGTAGTATTTCCATAGTCCCTTCCAGCCCCGATTCACAGCACTGTGCATGCATCCTTGCTTGCCTTTTTTGAAAAGAAAAGGATCACACTAGTTTTTGCTTCGAGCAGAGTTGGAGTGCCTTCATCCATGTATGACCACTTCTAATGTATTTTTTTAAAGTGGTTCCTCAAGGAAGACCGAATATCCTGGTATAGGAAAGAATATGTATTGTAGACAATGTTATGTTATTACAAAAAGAAAAAAAAAAAAAGTTTTAAAGGTAAAAGCTAAGCACAAGGATTATGTTGGGGAAAGCTGTAAATTGCATGTGCATACTTGTCTATTTTTTCTATAAGTTTTATTGCAAGAGGTAAAAAAATTTATTATTTAGATAATCTCAATGCCATTTTAGCCCTGTATAGGTTGACTTCAGCAATTCAGCCTTTTGGAGGCATTAACCTGCTCCTCTTTAAGTGTTGCATTTACATGGCTGTTTAGAAACTGCTGCCCAAATTTATTTTATATTTTTGTACAGATTCTGCAGTTTATGGTATTGTTTTTTCTAAAAACAAATGCTGTTTATACACACAAAAAATACCTATTTTGATAGGATTTGCTCACATAGTTCCTGCATAATTCAGATGTACAAGAACCACTTGTACTTTTATACAGAGTTGTAATGTTTTATATGTGTATGGTGCAAAGAGAAAATTTGATCAAATAAGCCTGCAGTTGGTTTTCCTGAATGCAAACAAACAAACAAACAAACAAACAAAAAAGTGCTTTAAGTAAGGGCTGGGAGCTGCTTCTATCGGAGTTTCACAAGTGTTTGCTCCCTGCTGTACCCACTGCGCACTACTGTGATGCCTGAAACTTAGAGCCATGTCCTTTTCCAACACGTATCTGAAGCAGTTGGCAGGAAACAGTTGTGGAACTTCACCCCCGGAGTTCTTGAGCGCTGCCGTGGCCTCAGCTCCCGCCCCGGGGCCGGGCGCTGTCCCCAAGCTCCCATCCCGCCTGACGTGGAGCCTTAACACGGCGGAGATATGCACCTCCTCACCCGGAGCTCCTGGGAACAGGGTGAGGGGGAGCGACGTGCCCGGAGCCCACCGAGAGCCCGTGGCATCTCCCTGACTGACGGGCGCGGGCAGAGAGCGGGGCTGGGAGCATCTGCTCGCCCTTTCTTGGAGCATTTTTCCTCCCCTCTCCCACCTCACTGTGCTAAGTGCTGAAAAAGGCAGCTTCAGTATTACTGCAGTGAAGCTCATCTCGTACCTGCACTGGATGGACTTGCTTTAATATCCATTGCTGTTGAAACTGGAGCCAGTTGCGTGACATCACTTGGCATCTCGTATAGAGTTGGGTTCTTGTATCAACTGTGTTACCTGCTTTACACTTTATAGACCCGTTTTACAAGGAGTATTACAGACACAGCTTTCTATGCATGGTCCCCTCCCCCGTAACACCTGAGAAGTCTTCTTACTGCACCAATAGCTTTTTTTTTTTTCCTAAGTTCGTTGTGGTGTACATTTAATTTAAAAAGAAAAAAAATGTTTGCAATGTATCATGCCTATTGCTGAAGTTGCTATGGCATTTTAGTTTTCCAATGGTACTTTTGTTGTTGAGTGCCGGTTACAACCTATATTGTTGACATGCCTATGGCTTCTTTAGGAATAACTTTTATATTTATTTAAGAAATTTTAAATTATGTTTTACGTTATTTGGCAATATTCAGTCGATTCTGCTCCCTTCTTGTCATGGATGAAATTGGGTCTTGCCTGCCTTTTAAGGAGGCGGCTTTTTATAAATTGGCACTTTAAAACAGGCCTTACATATTTATTAGTATATAGATAGATGTAACATAGATGTGCATACAGACACAGGATGAGAGCAAATGCATTTTTGCAATGAAGGAACTCCTAATTGAAATTAAATGCATCGTGTACAGCTGTGAAAGGTGCTTCTGGCTCCCAGTTCATCTGCCAGGGAGAGAGAGGGCTGGGGAAGGGGGTGTACTGGCCTGGGGGTATGGGTTTGTTTTCTGCTTTTTCCCAAGCTGAACTCCATGAAGCACTGGGGTGCTGATGGATTTGTAGTCATTACACAGATAAAGAGAAAGGAAGTTACTTCTTCAAACAGAACCATTGAGTAAGTGTAGCTTTAGGGACCAGGGGAAGGGGAGGGGGAGGAGAGGGACAGCTCCAGCCCCCACCCAGCCCTTACTCCACAGCAGTCCTCGACCCTTGCAGGAGAACCCACAGCCTTTCTGTCCCTGCACCTCGAGTACCTGGGAACACAATCCTGCACAAACCTGGAACAGCACCAGGCTCACAAGGCAACTTGGTAGGCGCTTGCCTTACCATGGTTAAAAACTGATTTGCAGGACGCTGGAGCCACCTGGTTTTTGGGATTACTTAAGTATTTACATCTGCCCAAATACCACCTGCTAGGCAAAAGCCCCCATCAGTGCCCTTTTCAGAGACTTGTTCTGTTAAAGGGAGTCAGCTAAAATTTTTGTACTCAGAGAGCAGGAGCCGAGCTCTAAATCTACTTTGCCACTTGGGCAGTGTCTGTGGCTCCTTGGTGCTGATGCATGTCAGGTGACAGAATCCCTACAGGAATCCCGTAGGACAAAACCCTACTTGATTTGTGTGACTCAGCAGAAGGTTGGGAAGGCTGGTGCAGGCTTGAAGGGCTGAGCTGTGGCTTTCCCCCGTGCACCATCATTGTCTCTAGCTGGGCCTGTGCTGTGGTCCCAACAGCAGCCACGCATGGAATTTCTTTGAGACTTACACCAAGGATGGAGATTGACATTAACGTGCAATGAAGTGACAAGATGTGAGCAGAATAAGAGAGCTTTGGATTTGATTTTTTTTTCTTAAATTATTTATTCTTTTTTTTCTTCTGTAAATATATTTATTTTATTGTGAAGCTAACAACATCTGGATTGTAACATGTATAGAATGTATGGTAGGAATGTATCCTCTTGTAGGAATGTAAATCTGTATGAAAAAGGGTATGGGAGCCAGATTCAGAAAGAATGAATTGAGTTCCAGTCAGGATATGCATGGATAACAGGATTATTTTTTCCTTACACTCTTTTTCTAATATGGGTCTGGTTGTTTGAAATATGCAAAAAAAGGTATGGAGGAGGGACAGGTTTATGTTCAAAATTAGTCCTAATCAGGCTCCTACCCCCCACTGGTTTCTTGAGAGGGGCCTCCCTTGGCAAGATACTGGAATCTGCCGCTGAAGGCAGGAGTAAATGCAATCATCTCCATCATGCTGGCCTGGGAAAGGTTTAGAAAAGATTTTTTTTTTTTTCCTTATTTTTTAAACACGCATGGAAGGCCCAGGAGAAGTCCCTGGGGCTGGACGCCCATAGAAGGGGGTAGGATGTTCCCTCCGGCCCTACGAGTTGTGTCAGAGCCACGTCCTTGCCCGGAGGTGAGGCCGGGCAGGAGGTCCCGACCAAACCCCCGGCTCCGTGTCCGACCAGCAGGAAATGAGGCTCCACCGTCCCTCCGGAGCCCGGCGGGATCCCTCCGCCCTGGGAGCAAAGGAAGGGGAACTTCCGTCTTGGAGAGAGCGGCTTCGCAGCGCCGTCCGTGCAGGCATCCCTCCGGAGCCGGCTGGAGAGCAGCGCCGCGAAAACACCGTCTGAAGCAATCACTGTCGGGAAAAATTCGGACCTTGTGCAAGATAATTCGGTTTTTCCTCAACGCCGTGTGGTAAGAGCCTGGGTTATTTAAAACTGATAATTTTGAATCCGAAGTTTACCATTGAATTGAGTAAATCGCAATGGGTCCTGTCTGACAAATGGTTTAATTCAGTCTGGCATGTTTTGAACTTTTAGTTCTAGTTACAGGGTTTTTTTCCGGTTTCATTTGTTTTTGGTTTTTTTCATCCCCCCAACCCCCCCATCAGGCTTCAGTATCCTGCTTCTGTGCAAGTTGCTTTCAATATTCTATTAATTAATGAGACTGAACATTTTAAAATAAATGAGTTCTTTTTTAAACACTTTTTTTTCCCTGAAAATAAGCCTAATGCAAGTTCTGGAACCTCTTTAAAAACACAAATTGCAGATAAATTCCCAACCTCAACTCCTATCTAGTTCTGAGTGTATTCCATACTAGAGCCTGCAAAGGCCAAAATTCTGGAAAAGGTGTAAATAGTGTGACATGTTCAGTGCATGGTTGATTGAACAGGGCTTGTTACTGTAAAAAAAAAAAAAAAAAAAAAAAAGGCTGTATTTCCCCTTCCTCTCCCACAGACCTTAGAGCTGTGCCTTTTCTATGCAATATTACAGACATCTGAAACCAGATTACTGTATTCACATGTAGGTATGGGCTGTAATTAAAAAAACAATTGGACAAATGTACATGGAAATGAGCAGTCTTACTTTTGTAGTTTTATATTATACAATAAACTATTAAAATTAATTCTGGCTTTATTCTTTCCCTCCACGAAAGAGGGCAGTCAGGGGAAGACAAGACCCCATGACGGCTGCAGGGGGAGTGGTGGAAGGTGGCAAGGGACAGGGGAGGGACAGCGCGCTCTGACCTCGCTCCGCCTGACAGAACAAGAGAAACATCGCCTTGTGCCAGGCCTGTTCCTGCTGCAAGCCTTTTGTGCCTGTGGTGGCCGTTCCTGGGCTACGTGTGTGCCGAGGGATGCTCGGCTCTGCTGAGGTGGGAGCTGCAGCTCTGAGCTGGTCCCGGGGGTGTGAGCGGCTTCCCCGGGAGCAGCCAGGCTTGCCCGGAGTGGGACCTGCCCACTTCTAATGCACGGAATGCACTGTCCTTCAGGCCACTAAATCCCAGCAGGAAACATCTGATACCTTAATCCACTGCTTCATTTACCAGTGCTCTCCTCCCCTCCCCACTCCTCCAGGTGCCTGGTGTTTGTTTTCAGGGCCAGCCAGGAGGGAGCTCTCTCCCCTGCCTTTGGCTCCAGCCTTTTGTGGCTGTGCCTTGGCTGGCCGCGGCTGCGGTGCTCAGCTCATGAGTCACCCCTTGCGCACGTCTCGCCCGGCCTCCCACACCCACGAGAGCACGACTGCTGCTCCATTTTGGATTTCCAGAGAACCGGGAGCCAGCGGGAAAAGCAGCGAGCTGTCCCCGTCCCGACGTGCCGCACGCAGCATCCCGGCTGAGGGAAGCTGGCTCGTGTTACGGCGCAGCGCCCGTGGGCTCGGAGACAAATGGCTACGGAGACATGAGAAACGCAAAGAAAGGAGAAGTGACAGAATTAAGCCGGCCCCGGGATTGGATTTCTGTTTGCTCAGCAAGCGCTGCGCTCGCAGGGGTGAAGCGCAGCCGGGGCTACGGCGCGAAGCCTTCTCCGGGGTTCGGCTCAAAACCCAGCTCCGCGGCTCCGACGGGATCAGCTCCCGTACGGACACAGCCAGGTGCTGGTGCACTGATCCGAGGCAGGGCCGGCGGAGATACCGCTGTTGTATTCCCGAAGCTGCCCCGAATTTGTTGCCACCTACGTTTTAAGAGCTTATTTCCTCACTTGGGTCTTGTCAGTGAGAGCTGCCTCCAGCGCAGAACATCCAGGCTCTGCACAGAGCCCTTCTCCCCGCTCCTGGGGTGTGCGTGCAGCTTCCCACCCACTCCAACCCTCCAACTTTCTGCCTCAGCGAGGGCAAACCATTGCTCTGGGCTTTTAAGATGGGGTACCCCTGCGGGGAGCTGCATCTCCTCGCAGCGTCTGCTCCGACCAGAGGGCAGCTCCAGGCAATTGTCCAGGCA